ATCTGAATGACAACACTGTATGGTGACTGGTGCCAACTGGGGCAAGTTGTTCCAGTTTGGCCACCATACCCTCCTTGTTTGTTATGATGAGGTCAAGTGGCTTGGGTGTTTGCTCCCCTCTGTAATGTGTTGGGTCTCTCACATGTTGGAACAGAAAATTATCTCTCAGAGTTTCTACAAAAAGAGTAGCAGGGTTTTTCCAAGTCATTCGGGGTGGACTTGTTTCTCCAGTCGATGTCGCCATAGTTAAAGTCCCCCTTGATAAGGAGGTGGCTAGGGTTGAGCATCGCCGCATTGTTTATTAAGGTTCTTAAGTTCCTTTGATTTAGTGGGCGACAGTTTGGGGATCTGTAGATACACCCGACGATAAGTAAGTCCCCTCCCTTTAATTTAATTTTACACCACTTGGACTCTTCAAAAACATCCTCTCCCTGTACCCTCGCCTGGCTGGCTCTAAGGTCGTGCCTAGCGTAGATAACCACACCCCTCCTGCAGGATTCTTGAGTTAGGTTCGTAAATGAGTCATATCCAGCAATACTAAACTCACATTCCTCTGGGTCGATTCTCCTGTTCTTGTACAACAGTTCTACAACTCCTACAATATCTGGTTGGTGTACTCTTAGTAGTGTTTCAAACTCCTCTCTCTTATCAAGGAACGTGTCAGTATTAGTGTACATGACATTCAAGCCAGAATTTGTTCTCGGTAACGTCTCTGCTCTTAGTAATAAACCCGCTCCCCCACATTCTCAGAAGCTGCAGCATTTGCTAAGTACTCTGTATTTTGCAGGGTGTGGTTAGAAATGTCATTGTTTACACGGCGCTCGTTCCCTCCTGTCCGGTAGGCTGAGCTGGTGCCGCCTCCCGGGTGGGGGGTTGAGTGGGTGGAGGGTGCACTGCTGCCAACTGGCCCTGTGTCGGCACACTTGTTTCCACTACCCTCCCCCTGAGTATAATCCATGTACACCTGTCCCCATTCCTCCTCGACTCCTCCCTCTTCTGCTTCAAGTCCTGCAGGAGCATCTTGTGCTGTTCCCTCTGCATTACTGTGCGGTCTGGGTGAATGAATACATCCCGAGATGCCTCGCTCCTTGCTAAGTTTTTTGCCTGCCGAATAACCTGCCATTTCTCCTCCTCACTCACTAGTGTGATCCTGAGGGGGCGAGGCTTAGCCCCCTGCTTTTGTCCCAGCCTCCTCACATCCTGAGGGGTTGCTGGAATCTTCAGAACCTCTGTGCAAATATTTTGAAACAGCACCTTATCGTGTGTTTCCTTACTCACAGTTCCCTCCGCCTGGCTCTCTCTGACTCCAAAAACTATTACATTGTTCCTGCGCTGGAGCCGTTCCTGGTGTTCCTCCTCTCCCCAAACAGTAGGTTCGTTAATTTCCATTTCTTCGACACACTTCTTCAAAGTCCCAATCTGCTGTAGAACCTGTACTGATTCTGCATTACTCCCCCCCACCCCCCCCGTGGCCCTCCTAATACGTCAGCATAACTCCTCTTAGCAACCACCTCCATTCTATCAGCTACTTACTCAGTCTCAGCAAGAATCTCTTTCCCAACTTGCTTCAGTTTGTCAACCAGCAGGGCTCCTGCTTCATCTATTTTCGTCCCTAGAGAACTCGTTCCCTTATGGCTTGCAATCGCTTCATTCACCTTGACTATGCAGCCAGAGCAATACCAGCAACAGTCATCATGCTTTATGGCAGTTAGTAACTTCCTAAACGTTGCATTAGTCAGGCCTGTATCCTCCATATCCGACGTCTCCCTGCAGTGCAGTAATCACATATCAAACTCATGGTTGTTGTTGTTGTGGGGGGGGGGGTGCAGACTGTGTATAGATCTACACCTATTTAAAAAATAAAGAGAGAAAAAGTACTTAGCTACTCTCTGTTGCCTATAGAGTTGTCGTCTGTGACTGTGTACACTGTATCTCCCTGTGAATGGTGTATTGTAGGCACAGTTTCAGTCCTTGAGAAAGCACACAAACAAAATAAAATTTAAAGTCTCTGTGGCACCTATGACACGACTTGGTTTCAGCTGGCACTGCGCCTTTCCAGCTTGCTTGCTAGTGAGCGCTCACTTTAAGTTATTTACAACTTCAGCGATCACTGATGCCACTATGAACTATCACTGTGTACACTGTATCTCCCTGCGAGTGGTGTATTATAAACACAGATTCAGTCCTTGAGACAGCACACAAACAAAATAAAATTTAAAGTCTCTGTGGCACCTATGACACTAATAGGCTGGCAGTTGTCCTTACCAGCTTGATTGCCAATATGTATTCTCTTTAAGTTATTTACAGTCTCTTCTGCGGTCACTGATGACAACTATGAACTGATTTAACTAAAGGCACAGTACTACACTCCCTGGTTGGCCTTTATCACAGCCGTGACCACACCCTAAAAAATAAAATAAAAGCTTTGTCATGTGGCAGTGATTGTGTGGTTATAGGCCTCGTGACCCTGGCTGTACCTCCAACTCGGTGGAAATTGAGCTTTCAAAAATACAATCGTTTCTAGCATTAAAAGTCCTACTTCGATTTACACTTTCACATCACTAAGACGATCTTGACGAACTTATGTAATCACTGTCCAATTTCTGCCGCTCTACATCGAAGGCCCGAATGCCGAACACGCTTTGTTACAGAGACGCAACACGACCCGCCCTTTCTGGTGTGTGTGTGTCTGTTAGGTTATGGAAGGATTCGGTTTCTGAAAAATTTTCCGTATTGCAAAATTCCGTAGCACAGGACCATTTTTCCCATTGACTCCCATTAAATATATTGAGATACAGTTGGGTCGGGATATATTGAGACTTCATATAACGATTTTTTTTATATCCCGTTTACCAAAATTATAAAAATTTTCCTTTATATAGCGTTAATTTTTTTTATTTCACGAGGGAAATCGGGCAGGAAATATTTCAAATGTACCGCCATAGGAAACAAATGCGTTATTTGCTCACCAGAGGCGCCACCGTGGCTGCTCACTCACACATTCACGCTCGCCCGCTCAGTCTTTCTGAGTGAGTGACGAGAAAGCAGCCGACTCTGCTGCAGATTTCGACTTCTAAGGTGAGTGTAAATGGGTTTCTAGTGGCGTGTGAAGTGAAGATAATGGAAAGCTTAATGGAAATGATTAAATACTGTAACTAATATATTTGGTGTTCATTTATGGAGGTGTGGGATTGTCAAGTGAGGGTGGCAGTGTGGCATCTGCTGCTGAGTCTGGTGTTCCCAGGATGGTTCGTCAGCTGCCGAGTCTGGTGTTCCCAGGATGGTTCGTCAGCTGCCGAGTCTGGTGTTCCCAGGATGGTTCGTCAGCTGCCGAGTCTGGTGTTCCTGAGTCTGGTGTTCCTGAGTCTAGTGTTCCTGAGTCTAGTGTTCCTGAGTCTAGTGTTCCTGAGTCTGTTGTTCCCGAGTCTAGTGTTCCTGAGTCTGTTGTTCCTGAGTCTAGTGTTCATTGGTGCTTTAGTTAATAAGAAAATTAACTCCTTAGGTCAGGTTTAGTCACTTTTTTGGACCTCCAGAACCTAACCCTATTTTCCCCATTGATTATTTGTAATTATATATCACGATTTAGTATATAGCGAACATCGTTGGACCCTATCTAGCGATATATCCCGACCCTACTGTACGTTTGTAAGTAAAATAAATTTGGGCCAAAGGACATAATACAAACACATACCTGTACTGTATATGAATGAAAATAATCAGTTTTAAACACATACAATGATTCATTCATGATGTTACGTGATGCTACACTACTTGAATATAACTCACCAGAAATGATGTTGGGTGGTGCATGAGCTGGTGTGATCAGTGTTACTGGGAGTTACCTCCATAAAGCACCAAGTTTAATGATGTAATTCCTTTAAGCACCACTGCTTTCACTTTAACCTGATGGCCTTTTTCCACTCATCTTGAATAAGGGTACAGGCATCCCCCGCATTACGGTAGCCCGGGTTACGGAATTTCGCTCTTACGGAATTTGTATATTACGACCATTAATTTCGCGTTACGGCCCGTAAATCCGCCCTTACGGAAATTGGTGTAAATTTTAACAATTAAAAAAAAATCACTATATAAAATTCAACTTTTTTGTTAAAAATGATAATTTGTTAGGTGTGGATTTCTTGGTGTTTGCTACCGCCGAGCATAGCGTCGCCACGAGGAGTCAGTCCATTGTTTACATCCAGTGTGGGTGCATTTTTTAAGCCCCAGCTGTTTGATTTAACTTTTACAAACATACAGTAAGTACAGTACAGTGCATTACCATTATTCAAGATGACTGGAAAGAGGTCATCAAGTGGAAGCGACCGCAGTAGTGCAAAAAGAAGCCGCAAAGGCATTACATTGGATATTAAACTTGATGTGTTACGAAGGTTTGATGCCGGAGAAAAACTTAGCCAGATTGCAAAAACATTAGGTCTCGCTCCTTCAACAGTGGGAACAATTCGTGATAATAAGGACAAAATTAGGTCAAGTGCTCAAGCAGCTACTCCATTAACTGCTCGAACCTTGTATTTTCATCGAAGTGATGTGATGCTGAATATGGAACGACTCCTGAGTGTCTGGATTGAAGATCAGACTAAATTCAATGTGCCACTAAACACTATGGTTATTCAACAGAAAGCCATCAGTTTATATAATGATTTGCAGGAAGAGGAAGGTGCATCTTCTGAGGCTAAACCTTTTCCTGCTAGTAAAGGCTGGTTTGAAAGGTTTAAGAAATACCTTAATTTACACAAAATAGAAATGAGCGGTGAAGCTGCCAGTGCTGATACAGATTCTGCTAATAAATATCCTGCTGAGCTGAAGAAAATTATTGATGAAGGGGGTTACCAGAACAAGTGTACAATGTTGATGAAACTGGGCTTTTCTGGAAGCGCATGCCTGCTAGAACTTTTATTTCCATTGAAGAAAAATCAGCAACAGGCTTTAAAGCATCCAAAGATCGTTTAACTCTTCTTCTGGGAGGAAATGCTTCAGGTGACATGAAATTAAAGCCCCTACTTGTGTATCACTCAGAAAATCCAAGGGCTCTCAAGGGCTATGCCAAGTCTAGTCTACCTGTGATTTGGCATTCCAATAAGAAGGCTTGGATGATTATGACCCTTTTCCAAGACTGGTTCACTAACTATTTTTGCCCTGCTGTAGAAAGATATAATGCCAAGCGTAACATATCTAATAAAGCATTGCTCCTCTTAGACAATGCACCAAGCCACCCAGTAAATTTAAATGATCTTTTGGATAATGTGAGAGTGGAGTACAGGTACATCCCCAAGAACACAACTTCGTTGCTCCAGCCAATGGATCAAGGTGTGATAGCTAACTTTAAGGCATATTATCTTAGGAATACTTTTTTGCAGCTCATAAAAGCAATTGATGGGGAGGATAAACCTACAATTAGGGACTTCTGGAAAAAGTTCAACATCTTGGATGCTGTGGATAATATAGCCGAGTCATGGGATGAAGTGAAAACCTCAGCTATGAATGGTTCATGGAAAAACATATGGCCTGAGTGTGTCCATGAATTTCAAGGTTTTTCACAAGCTGAAAGTCTACAGAAAGTTCAACAAGGCATTGTAACACTTGCAAATAATATAGGCTTTGAAGAAGTCGTGGAAAATGATGTGGTTAAGTTGCTAGAGTCCCATAGAGAAGATTTGACTAATGAAGATCTGATGATGGAACAAGAGAGAGAGCTGCAGGACAAGAGGAGGATATAGAATCTCCACCCACTCCACTTCAATTGACAACAAAGGATATGTCTAAAGCATTTGCACTAATAGAGGAAGGTCTGCAAATCTTAGCTGATAATGACCCCAACCGTGAAAGGAACATCAAGATTGCAAGAGCAGTTAACAATGCTCTCAGTTCCTACACTGAGCTGTACAAAGAGAAGGTGCGCCATAAACGTCAAACAACTTTGGATGAGTTATTCAGAAAAAAGGTGAAAGCAGATGAAGAAGCAGATGATGATTGACAGGGCACGGCAGAAGAGAGTAGTGCCTCTCCCTCTCCCTCCCAATAACTTCCTTCGCACCATCAATCCTCACGCAGCAGTCAACATCTTTTGTGGTAAGTACAGTACAATATTTGTATTTATTCCAACTGTATTTCTCTTCATATTACATGTATATCATGAATTTTTTAATGTACTGTATTGTATGTGTTTATAAATGTTTATTTTCATTCATAAAAGTGCTTGAATTACGTTTTTTGGGGCCTAAAAAAATTCCATCTCCAGTTTTATAATGGAAGTCAATGGGAAAATAGGTTTCGCGTTACGGAATTTCACGATGCGGTCAATTTTCCAGGAACGGAACCCTTCCGTAACGCGGGGGATGCCTGTACACAGTAACTTTGCTGTCACTTGGAATCGAATATGATGATCATCTGGCTACGATACAATGATATGAGTTATAAGGATGTCACCTTCATTGGTGAGTTTTGAGGTGACTAAAGAGGCCGCTACGGGACCGGTAGAGTTGTTCACAGATGTTGCGCATGTGGAGGACTGCATCTAGTGCGGGAGTGGCGGTGGCAACATCTTTTTGGTGTTGGTGCTTGTCTTCCTCGTTATGCAGTCGGGCTAACTCGAAGGTATTGACACCTTCTTGTGTGGTACTCTCCTCCAAGCATTACGCTGTGGATTAATCAACTCCCAGGTGAGGGGGTCGATTTGGCACTTTTTCAGGTTTGTCTTAAGACTATCCTTATACTTTTTCAATTGCCTGCCGGTGTTACGTTCACTATTCGTTAGGTGACCGTAAAGTTGCTGCTTTGGCAGTCTACTGTTGTCCATGCGGGTAACATGGCCAGTCCAGCGTAGTTGTTCATGGATAATGGTAGCTTCGATGCTCCTACAGTTGGTGTCAGCAAGAATACTGGCATTTGTTCTCTTGTCTTCCCAGCAAATTCAGAGGATGGAACATAGACTACGTTGGTGAAAGTTTTCAAGTGCCTTGAGGTGCCTCCTGTATGTGACCAATGTTTAACTACCATATAGCAGGGTGGGGAGGACCACTGCTCGATATACACGCAACTTTGTAGATAATTTCAGCTTCCTACAGCTGAAGACAGTTTTGGAGTCTGTCAAAGACTTTAGATGCATATCTGATCTGATGCTGAATCTCATCAATGTCCGCAGTGGTGGACAGGTGGGAGCTGAGATAACAAAAGTGGGTAACATTAGAGAGGGTAGTACCATTAAGCTGGATGGATGGTGGAGGTGTGGCTGAACCTGGGGCAGGCTGAAAGAGAATCTGAGTCTTACGTATATTCACCTCAAGGTGAAGTGTGCATTCTCATTTGCTTAGGTGTTCAGGATCTCCTGTAGGTCGCATTCAGTGTGAGGGACAAGGGTGAGGTCGTCGCATACTGAAGCTCAGTATTGAAAGCTGCCGACACCTTTGTTCTTTCCTGGAGTCGTCTTCTGTTGAAAAGACCCTTCATCCGGTACTCGATGTCCACCCCACCGGCTAAATTGGCACTGGCACGGGTAAGGAATGCAGCCAGGAAAATGGAAAAGAGAGTTGGTGCCAGTACAGACCCCTGTTTAACCCCCGTTCGGTTGGGGAAGATCACAGACTGGGTGCCATTGTGCAGGGCACTGCCATTCTTGCCATCATGGAGTTGTCTCACAATGGTGTTGAATTTTGGTGGACAGCCAAAATGGCTGAGGGTCCACCAGAGGGCTTCCCTGTTGACTGAGTCTAGGGCCTTGGTTAGGTTGATGAAAGCCATGCACAGGTCATGACGCTGTTCTCTGCACTTTTCCTGCATCTGATGGGTAGCAAAGATCATGTCAGTGGTGCCATGTGATGGTCTATAAATCACATTGAAATTCTGGGAGGAAGTTTTCCGCCTCAGGAATAAGTCTGTTGAGGAGGACTCAGGCGATAATCTTGCCAGCTATGGACAGCAGCGAGATCTCGCGGTAGTTGCCACAGTCTGACTGGTCTTCCTTGTTCTTATACATATTGACAATGGAGGCATCTTTAAGAGCTTGGGGGATTTCCTCCTTTTTCCATATATTCTCCAGGAGAGAGTGGAGACTGCTGGTAAGCAGAAGAACTCCTGCTTTGTACACCTCGGCTGGGATTCTGTCAGGCCCTAAGGCTTCTTTATTTTTCATCTGTTTGATGGCAGTAGCTACCTCATCCAGGGATGGAGGATAGCTGAGGTGGGTCAGCTCTGGATGCTGTGGGACCTGCTGGGTACTCAGGACTAGGGTGTGACAGTTGCCCCAACTTTGTCTTACAATGCTGTTCAAAATTTTGGTGTTGCATATTGACATAAAAAATACCCACGTGCAATTTTTGGAAGATTCATGCATATTTGAGTGAGCACCAGCAATTTCAAAAATAGTGATTTTGCTTATACGGCATACGCGCCTGTACAGTATATGAGATTACACAACTATCATAAGGGATATTAACACAAATCATTTGCCTGTTTTAATTAAAAGCTGTTATCACTAACACAAAAAAGTTACTCATTCTTATTCTCTCCTGGTACATTAAGGGGTTTTATCATATATTCACAAGGTATTATTTCTCTTGAGCAAGAAACCATGATTTTTGTTCGGAAACAGATGATCGTTTGCGCTGATTAGGAACGCGGAGTCTGTCATTTTCAACTACTTGAAGGACTTCTTGAAAGCTCTCCTCATCCCTGGCAACATTAAGAAAGTCATGGCAAAGTTTTACACCACGCTCTGCAGCCTCATTGACGACCTGAAGCTTGTCCACAACCCGTTTTGTGTTTAGGTAGTCGTCATGATCCACCTATTCACTGGCTGGACTGTGGAGAAACTGATAGTGCATGCCTAAAATAGTGAAGAACCGGCTTGAGCCAGGTCCAATTAGGTCCACCAGGGCAGTGCCACTTTCTGGGACAGGGGGAAGATATGGCTTTCCATAGCCCCCATGATTGAGCCCCACTCTCTTAGTAACTTCAGTGCCTTCATGGGAAAGAAGGGCCTTCCTCATCTCTTCTTTTGTCCTTTTTTGTACTTGGAACGAGAACAAAGCCAGTGGGGCCAACTCCTCAGTTAGGTACCAAGTGTGTCTACCGAATGCCACATTTGCTTTGTCAACTATTGTGGAGTCATATGGGGCAAATTTAGCCAAGGTTTCGACCAAATTCAAGTCATTCAGTGGCGCACTTGCTGGAACGGGGCAAACAATCCACCATGGGACAAACCAGCGACTGTGAACATAGCAAACCGTTCTAACTTGCTGATTTGACTTTTAGTCACAACCTCGGCTTTGGGAAACTGCTCTTTGATCTGGCCTGACAAAAGAACAATCTTGAGGGTATAGAGCCATCCACCTTGCTTTGTGACGTGCGCCGGGGTAGACCATCGTGAAGTTCATGGGCTCGGATCCTTTAGTTACAAGCAGCAGACAAAGCTCTACCAGCTCCTTGTAGTCGCCACGTGTAAATGGTTGGGCTAGAGATTCACGGAAGAAGTCAGCCATCTCCTGCTGGCGCTCCTCAAACACTCCAGGCATTGCGGGGTTGTAGTATTTCTCTTTTTCATTGTACACCAGTTGAGAGAAATGGGTCTTGAGCCTAGAAATGCAATTACAGTTATGCGTTGGTTAACGTCCGACTGAACAATGTCTGATCGCATATACATCCGTGGCCCCGCCTCCCCCCTCCCCCCCCTCCTTAAAAAAACAACTTCCGTGACGCCTACTGGACCACCACTCCACGACCCCCTGACGGAGACACGATGATCCTCCCCATACTGGTCAGATAATTATGTGTTAAAGGAATATGCTTCCTTCCTTAGGCTTTTTTTTAAGCATTTGCCTCCAGGTGTAATATTAACTTACATCTATTGAGGATAAAATCTTTCACCTACAAATTGACAATAACGCATTTGCTGTAATCAGACATATCTAGTTGCCTCAACAATTGCAACCCCAGTTGCAATAGGGGTTGCAATTTCAAATTCTGTGTCATTACTAAGGAATAGCGAAGTTTCTCTTGCACTCTAAGATTAAGAGAGAAAACGGAGGACTCCGGCGTCCTGATGTGAGAGAAAACGGACTCGTATGATGGGGGACCAAATAAAAAAAGCCTAGCTACATGTTTTGTGGACTACAGTATTAAGCGTACCCTTTTCATCACTTTGTAATAAACCTTGCCATGCCTATGTGTGTTTATGATATTTACCATAACATTATATATATATTTAGTGGGTATAAATGGTCGTAAAATGGGAAACTTGGGGTTGGGTCTTGGGTGCCTGGAACCAATTAGAATAAATCCCATAGGTTCTGTACTTTCGTTATCGGCGGGGTCCCAATTAGGCACGATAACCAAGGGATGATTGTACTGTACTGTATATACTTGTGACACTGGCCAGTTGCTTCTGGTGTTATGGTACAGGGGTACCAAGTGACAGCACTAGGATCCCGCTTCCTCTATCAAGGAATAAACAATTGAAATTTAAATTGAAAAAAAACATTCAAATAATGAGACGTAGCGAACTTAAATGGCCCTAGAGCGGGCACAATGACGTATGCATCGCGTATTCTTATAGATTGTGCTGCGAAGCGTACGTTATCTAGTGAATTTAGTCAATTTTGTACAGTAACAATGGACCTAAGTGCAAACCTGTATCGTACATGTACTAAATGATTACGGTTCTAAAATTGTTATGTCTTTTGCAAATACAGGTAGTCCCCGACTTACGACCGCATGGACTTAC